AGGGACGGCTGCTCGTCGCCGTGGCCCGGGAGCACGGGCGCCTCGGCACACAGGGCGGGCTTGCAGGCCCGCAGGCACTCCTGCCGGGAGAGCGGGAGAGCGCGGGGCGTGAGCGCGGCCCCGGCCCGCAGACCCCGCCTGGGCGCCATGTCCCGGTGCGAGGCCTCCCTGCCCTGTCGGGCGGCCCACCCCGTCCTCTTGGCTCTCGTGGACGTCTCCTCAGACCTGGCATCGCCTCTTTGTCCTCTGTCCCCTGACTACGTCTGCCTGGCCACAAACACCCGTCCCTCTGGGTGGTTTACTCCTCTGTCCCCCATGGCTTTGGTGAGCAGCGTCAACACCTTCCCGTTACACGCCTGAAATCGAGGAATTGCTCCCAAAAGGCAGAAGGGTGGTAGCGGCTGTCGTTTAATGAATAATGAGTAAATAAGTGTGGTTCAAGTTCCGGAGGGCATGGGGCTGAAATTTGGAGGAGACTGGCTCCAGGTGATAGAAGTCTGACTTCTAGGCCCTGTATTTCCAGCAATGCCTCACCTTACACCTGTGATCTGCAAACCTACTTCATGCCTATCCCAGTCCTATCCCTGTGCCATGCCTCAAAACTTTCCTGTGTCCACTGGGCCCTTACTCTGGTTCTTTCAAGTCTTCTGAGCTGATCTCTTTATACCTTCCCCCAGTTAGGATGGAATGGCTCATTTCCCTGGTGCCTCATTTTTGACTGGAGGAAGGGGTGGGATGTCAGGGTTATTTCCATTGCACAGACCATGGAGCCTGGGTCTCTGCTCCCTGTCCTGAGATGATTCAACTGTGGCAGATATTTGCTTAGGAAAATGATCCATAGGTTGCACCTTGAGTTTTCAGTTACTTGGGAACTGCACAGGAGAAAACAGAAGGATCCCACACACTATCTCGAGTTGGGATTTTCCTCCTGCAGGAATTTAGAATAATGGTGTGGAATGTTAACAGTGGAAAATAAAAGCTATCTCATTTAAACTCTCCTCCCCTGGACAGATAATGAAACAGGAGGCTCAGAGAGATGAAAGGACCTATCAAGGTCCCATAGCTCTTTAGTGACAGAACTGGGATTAGAACCCAATGCTCCTTCCCTGGTGAGCACTCAACAGGAGAGGCTGTGCAGTGGGTGTTAATCAAGAGTCTCGTGGGTCTCTCTGAACACGAACTCACATAATCCCCTAGTCTCCTTGTTTTTGTTTTATATTACACATGAAGCCTGCTCTGTGTCTTTGAGGAAGTCTCTCCCTTCCCCTTAACTCAGTTTCTCCGTTGAAAAAGCACACAGAATGTAGTGCATTCCACCCTCACCTGGCAGGTGCTGGCTTCAGGATGGAATCTCAATTACTGTCATCAGTGATGTTTCTTTTAATCCTTTACTTGGTATCGTTCTCATTTATGTCTCCCAGCCCACACACACACACACACACACACACACACACACACACACACACACACACACACACACTCTGGTGACCTGGAGGGAGCTCCAGCGTGGCATAAAGGGCCTTTACATGCTTCCGGAAAGACTGCAGAGGAACTTGACAGAAGGCCAGTCCTCCAGAAGCAGCATGAGACATTTGGTACCATTACAGAAAAATGGTACGTTGGTTTTTCCTTCTCCCTTTAGAGATGATTTGTGGAAATACTTAGCTGGTTTTGTAACTAGTGGTAGATAAAATGGAAAGAAATATGGAGTAGAAATGGCAAGTAATATAAGGTTATTCAAAAGTGATTAATTTGGGGGCTAAACATTGAAAATATAGTATCAATTGAGGGGGCAATTATTGTTATCATGGCACTATCTCTAAATAGTTCAAATGGCGTGAGGTCTCCATAGAAGAAGATAGGAAGGGAGTAAGGATAATCAAGCAGAAATAATGGACCAGACCCATCTCTCTGAAGCTGCTTCCTCCCCTTGTTGGCCCAATTCCGACTTCACCACAAAGTTCTGCTCCTGCCCTGGGTTGAATCGCTCCTGTTACTGGGAATGAATTTCCCCTTCCCCACACCCTTTTCTTCCCATTCCCAGTCCCATCTGATGCCCAAACCAAGATGGCAACCATGGCCCACATACCAGCAGGTTGCTTTCCGTGGTGAGGTCCTGACACTGGCTGCTCTCCAGGCACCAGCCACGCACTTCCATGGAGGCCTGAAGCAGCAAGGCCAGCAACAGGGCCCCTGAGCGGCTGTAGCACGACCTTGGCATCTTCCAGGCAGGCTGAAGCTCTGCAGAGGCAAACAAGATTGGTGGACCCCCGCAAGGAGCAGAACAATGTTGGCCAGTCATCAGGAAGGACTGTGAGCCAACATTAACAACACACTCACTTGTGGAGTTCAAGGGCTTTTGAGGACAGGAGCAGTGCTGAGGAGAAGGAAGGAATGGCAGGGTGGTGGTGTGAGGTGGGGTAGGAAGGAGGGGAGTGGGACCTGGGTAAACTATAGGCAACTTTCCCTTTATCTTCTGTTAAAATCAGACTCTTAAACAGGTTAGGGCCAGAAGCTATTTGGGGGATCACTTGGTCCAGCTCCCCGTTTGAGAGATGCAGGAATTGAAGCCCAGAGAGAGAAATTTACTTTCATGTTCATGACAAGATAAGGCTAAGTTCTCCTGCTTCCAGCACAGAGCTTTTCTGTTTTACTCCCTGCATGAAGCTATAGTCTAAATGCTCCAGATATCCAAGGGGTGGGAGTAATTTGGGAAAAACAAAGGACACTGAAATTCCTGCTCAAGATGGTCTTTCCCCCTCCTCCACCAGGATCCTATCATTCCTCTGAAACTATTTTCAATGAGAATTAGGTTTCAATGAGTATTAGGTTCAATGAGTATTAGTTGAAAACACTATTTTCCATGAGTATTAGGTCTGGCTGATTTAGTTAAGACCTCAGGCAACTGATTTGATGTCCTGTGCACAAATCACTCAGGTGGTCACTATTTCCCAGACCCCAGTAACTTTGGAAAGATCTATTTTTAAAACAGATCCCCATTCTTTTAAAATTGGCTCATCTTATGAACACATTACATGTCAGACCTCTTGTTCTCTAGTCTCTCAAATGTGGTCTGAAATAGCTGACCTTGAAGGGGATATAAGTGTGAAGGGGAAAGGGATGGACAAACAGACCAGAGGGGAACTACCTCCTAGTGTGAACAGCCACCAAAGAAACTTTTGGAGAATCCAGGAAGTAGCTTTGGGCAGATGCTGAGGCAAGAAGTCGGGATGCAGTAAAGAGCAGAGCACCTGTGGTGCTTTTGGACCCTTGTGCCTGACCCTTTCCCCAGCACCGCTCGCCTCACGTTGTCATGTTCCCCCTGGCCCAGGTCCGCCCCCGGAAACAACCCTCCAGTCTGCCATCAGCTCACCACCAACCCTGCAATCATTTTGGATTTGAGAAGATCCTCTCAGCCAGCTGTTAAGAAGAAACCTAATTAGATGAGAAAGGTAATTCACATTAAGATGTGATGACTGTCTTGTCATAATGAACATTTACATTTTAAAATGCTTGCCTAAGAGAAATCTCCCATTTGGGGAGGTGTGGGCCAAATCTTTTTTAGAGGAGAAATGTTGAAAGTAAAAGTCCTCCCTGGCCCTCACTGTCTCATTGTTCAGGAAGCCACTTCCTTCTCTCTGCCCCATCCCCACCCCACCCCCACCCCATCCCCACCCCATTCCCCAAGAGCTGGGCCAGCTCAGAGCTCGCTTCTGAACGATTGCCAGGCAGTTTTGAGAGCAGCCATTAGGTGGCGCTGGCAGCCAGTGAGCCAGCCCAGCAGCATCTCTGCGGAAGGGGCAGCTGGGGGAGCATTGGTCAACCTTGGTGTCCCCTCCTGACCAGAGACAGACTGCTCCTACAACAGGATCCTGCTGTTGCTCCAGCTCAAGTATGCAGCCTGAACTTGGTGCACAAGGCAATTAGATGAAATCTCTGAGACCACACAGCACATTTAGGTCAGAAAAATGTCCAGATGTTACAGGAGAGGCAGAAAAATGGTAGTAATTTATGTCATCATGGGCAAGTGTAAAATAACATATTCATAAAGAAAAATAAAATAAAATCATACAGGTCTCCGCTATATTTAAATTCTTCTCAGAGACGGCAATTCTGGAATAATTGCATTCCATTTTCTAAAACTCTACATTATGATTTCAGACATTCCTGAAAAGTGCCCAGAGTTTTCTCTCCTTCTGCCCCACTGGCTGTGTTGTACAATGTGGTGACATTCTCGCTCCCCACCCTCTCTGAGCTCTTATTTTATTGCTAAAAAGTTAGATGGTGTCCTGAAAGCAACTTGTTTTGTTTTTTCTTATGCGTATTTTCTATTTTTCTACAACAAACAAACATTACCTTATTTGCGTCATATTTAAAAAGCAACAAAGTAATAGGGAGATGTCAAATGTTGTTCTTTTTGTAAGTAGGGAGAGTTATAATCCAATAATTGAATGTTCTGGAAACATAGAAATTTGCCATTTGTTAAGCCCATGATCTGCGGGATGAACGGTCCAGTCTATGGTCCCATTGAGGGCATCTGAAACGAGACAGGGTGTTTCAGAACCTCGGACAGTTCCCGCCCCGGCCACCTGTTTTTAACCCCAGCTGGGTCTCGGAGAGGAAGGACTCCACCGTCCTGTCCTGTAATTGACTCCAGCTCCGCCGCCTCGCATGCGCTAAGACGGGCAGGGAAACGAAGAAAGTAGGGAATTTACTGTGACTTTTAGCCTTTTCTCTCCTGTCCCCATTTACAACATTCTTTTGCGCTATAGTATGTGGTGTCTTTGAAGAAGTGACTCCTATCCCTAAAATCGGGAGGCAGAGGAGCCAAAAGACGGGCCCTGTCGAGAGCTCCCCAGAAGGCGGTCGGAGTCTCCGGGGCTCCTAGCAGCCCGCTGACCCCGTTTCCCCACCCGAGCGCCGGGACCCCCGGACGGTGGCGAGTGCCCTGGGGAGCGGAGGCGGCCGCTCCCTGGAAGGCACCGCCAGCGGCGTCGCAGCCGGTCGCCCACCGCCCGGACGCAGGCGTCTCACGCCGCAGTCAGCACAGAAAGTTTGCAGCGAACGTGGGACCTCGGCGAGCCGGAGGCGACAAAGTCCACTTTCGGGACCAGCCGAGAGCACCCCGAGGCCCCGCGGCAGGGGCTCCCGGGCTGGAGCGCGGTTCCGCACCGCTGCGCCCTTACCTGTCACGGAGAGGCCACTCTCTGGAGACGAGGATGCTCAGCGGCCTCTCTCGGTCCCTTCTCCTCCCCTCTTCTTCTCCTTTTCCGCTGCTTGGTCCCCGTCGCTCTCCTCGGGCTTTATATACGAGCCCTGCAGGCTCTGGACGTGACCTTCCCAGCAGCGCTTTTGCAGCGCAACAAGCAACTGCCCGGGCCACGGGAAGGGGGGCCATGGCGGGGAGGGGGGCTTCCAGACAGGGGTGAGCGCAAGGGCGGACGTGCCTGGAAAGGGAGCAGGAGGGGATTAACACCGCCCTGCGGCAGCGCTCACCTGGCGGCTGGCCGTCAGCAAGAACTAATTACCAATGGTGTTGGGTCTCCACCTAGGACGAGCAGGAGGCTTAGCATCCCGGTGTGGCACTGGCCTGGCGCACCTCTGAGGTGGCTGAGGCGAGGGTGAAGTTACCTGTGTGCGTGCTTGGACTGGCATCTGTCTCGTTGGCATTTGGAGGTAAATATCACCGCAAAGGGAGTGCGTCTGTAATGCCTCAGATTTCCCCAACATTTGGAAACTATGAGGTAGAGGTGGTGTGGAGTCACAATCTGTCCTACTTTGGGGAGAGAGAGCAGAGGTCGGAAGTCATTCACCTAAGGCCCAGGACAGATTAGCCTCTTGGAGGAGAGAGGGTGAGCTGCACTGCACCCTTGGGCAGGTTCGTTTCTGTTCCCCAAACCCCAAGGAAAAGGTCCCCTTAACCTGAGACCATTAATGGGGTGGGGGTGCTCTGTGAAGAGCAACTGAAGTACTTTCCCTGTGGCCTCTGGTCCCTCCCTGTGGCCATGAACTGGCAGACTGGCCTGGGGACTCGCAGTCTTCAACATCTGTCCTGGCCCTGGAGTTTTGTCTTGGCTCTAGTCCAAATGTCAGGCCAGGGAGAAGAGGACAGCACTCACACCTGCAGTGGAAGAGAGCTGACCTTAACCTGAGGTAAAGAAGCAAAACCAAATTGCGAGGCATGCTGGGTGTGGGAGGGAGTGTTGGGACTAAGCTCAACTTCACATCGAGGTGCTTGTTTAATCTGCCAGCTGCAGGAACTCTATTCCCAATTAGATGCTCTTTTGGACCCCAAGAGTCCCTTGAGAATTCGGCTTTTCTGGTCAGTGATGTTGACTTTACATTCAGCAATCCTTTCCTTTTGGGACATGAGAGATCCCAGCTCCTAAACTGTAAACAAGGTGCTTTATCACCTGACCTTGGCCTCTTTGCAAGGTCATCTCCTAGCTCTCCATCTTGCATTCTGACACTTCAGCCATCTGCAACATTCACACTCCTATGAATACTATTTTCTCAGGCCTCTGTTTATCCAAGCTGTTCCCCCAACTAGAACACTTTTCCTCTCTCTAGCCATCCAGGAAACGTGGACTCACATTAAGATGTAGCTCATCTAATATCACCTGCTCTCTGAAGCCATCTTTGGCCACTCTTCCTACCAGGGGCATGAGATATGGCCTTTTCTGTTCTCCACAGAACCCCATCCCTCTGATCTGTATGTGTAGCTTACACTGCTTGGACTAATTCAATTTGGTCTTCCATCTTCTCTCTTCCATCCACCCCTGCCCCTACCCGTACCAGGCTTCTGAGCTTTCAATCAGATGGTGATTTTTGTCCTATTTTTCTTTGTATTATTTTTATAACTTCAAGAGGCAGCTGCTGCTAGCAGAAAAGGCAGACCAGGAAAAGTTCAGATTGACCCAGCTTCCATCTTCCTGTCAGCCAGGTTCTTAATTACATGCAGCAGAACCCACTTTGGCCAATGTGAATTGGAAGGTCATTGAACAACATTTAGAATCACTGGGCAGGTTAAGGAACCAGAATCTAAAAATGGGCAGTGACAAAGTGTGGCTGGAACCATGGCCAAAATCAGGCCACTGGATGCGGTGGAGAAAGCAAACCAGACCACTACTGGGAACAAGAGTCCACAAGTGGCACTGTCAACACCACAGGCATTGGACGTAGATGGGACTTCTATCAGAAGTTGTCGTCCTCACTTCAGCT